CACTTTCGGATTCATTGTATTAACATACGGTATCACCTCCTCAACATACGGTTGCGTCATATGAGTCAATCAATTGTTCAATACTTTACAAACTCCATTAACATACAATATAGCCTCCTTACTCTTGTGTCCGGCCTACAAATCTTCTCTCTTTGATTCCAACATTGCCATAGGCTCCTCTCTTTCTTTCTAGATAAAGATAATTTCGTCCTTTTTGATAGTAAGAATTGGAATGTTGTGAGAAGGATGAATAACGAGATTCTCCATCTCGCTGGTAGTCCTAAATGTCTCCAATTCACAACTTTGATCATGCAAAACAACTCTTTGGAAAATATCTCGAGTGAATTCTTCAAGTCCATGCCAAAGCTAGTTGTTTTGGATATATATATGTCATATAATGAAGGGTTCTATGAATTGCCGAACAGAATATCAGTCAGAACTAGTTTCTTTGCGGTATCTCAACTTGGCATATACGGCTATACGTGATTTGCCTACAAGAGTTGAAAACATTAATTCACTTGGATTTGGAGTTGAGAATAAGCCTTTCGAGTATTGTTGGGATATCAAGTCTGCATAGTTTAAAAGTCTTGAAATTAACTGATTCAACACAGTGGAGGAGTTGGAAGGCTTGGAACATTTAGAAATTTTCACCACATCATTCATTCAAAATCCTCTTCGCTTGGAGAGATTTTTTAGCTCTCATAAGTTGACGAGTTGTACTCGATCTCTACGGATCTTGGATATGGATTCATCTGGAATATCACTTCCAGTAACTATGGACAAGCTTCGTGATCNCAGCATTAATTCTTGATTGCTCTTTCACTGAGATAAAGATGGGAAGGATAAGCATCAAAACTCAAAAGCAAGACGGTTTCTCCTATTCAATCTCCGAAAAACCGTCTCTCCAAAGTGGTTATAACGAGTTGTGAAGGCCTAAAAGAGTTGACATGTTTTCTGTTGCATTGGTATTTTTAGTTTCAGATTTTTGGACATTCACTTGTAGAAAGTCACCAGGCCATCTTGTTGGAATAAACTCTATCTATTGTCCTTAGAAGATTAAGAACATTTCGCACAAAATAAAAAAAGAGAAGATTAAGAACACTTGATTGCTACTTTTGATATATAAGGATACAGTATTCACCTTAAACATTTTGGTATAGCAAATTTTATTCAAATTTACAAAATCTCTTTTTTTTTTGTTTATTTATACAAAGAGAAATCTTGGTAAGTTTGAGAAACAAACTGATGATGATTTTCCAATTTGTCTCTATACGTCTCCGGATACTCTATCTTCTTCATGTCACATGTTAAAAACATCTCTTTCCTCCATTCCTCTGTTCCCGAGCACCCGCATTGTGAAGCCAACCAATCCTTGTACTCAAACTATGAAAAAGCACACATGCAAAACGTTAAATGTGTTGCAGTTCAGCTTTGGTCTCGCAGCAGAATCATTCATAACCTGGGTAATGCCCAAATGGTGAGTATTATCGCTTAGGAATCCCTTGGGCTTCATATGTGGCGTATAAGGTTTCGATTTCCACCATCATATCTTCTTTCGAAGGAAGTGTGATTCGACCCGACAAAACACCTGCAATCCACTTGCTTTGTAGCTCAAAAATAGGGAATGGCACAATCTGAAATTAGATTTGTTAAGGATTATTGAAATGTTACAAAGGGTAAGAAGTTCAGGGAAAAAGTGAATTCTTTTTTGGACCTTCCAAGCTATCCCGATGAAGGAGAGCGACGGTGCTAATGTTGGAGGAAAGATGTGTTTGTACAATGGTCCGACACGGTTATCATCTACGGTAACAATTCCATTGGTATCAAGAAACGAAAAGTGATACTTATACCTTTGAAAAAAGGATAAGAGCTTTTTAAGTAAAAAAAACTGTAAAACTTAAAAGCCGAAAGAATAAATGAATTTATTACCCAGTGCAATGGATTATAACATCAATCAGAATCGTTATACCGTTCTGAAAAACCACTGAACCATCCTCATGTACACGCTCTATCTGCATGGTGCGTTCAAGAAAACATTAATCGTTATTTCTCTCTTGATCAATGAATTACAGTAAGTATCAGCTTAACCCACCATTGAATGGATCCACAGGTTAGTGTGACCAGTCTGCTTGATAAACGTATCAGCCGCGTTTGACCAATAAGCCACATGAACCTCCTTGGCAGCTCTAGCGATGTCCCTACTTATATCTTCAGCATTGCAGCGTTTCCAATAAGCACAACAACCTAATCAAATGTCACATAAAATTTAGCATTACATGATCTTTTTACATAAGAATCTGATCATTATGATCCTTAAAAACGGGTACCTGATCTTTGAATGGTTCGGTTATCGCTATGCATCTCTTTCCCTGGCCAAGAACTTATCCCTGAAACATTTTCCGAGTAAATTACAATATAAGAATCTGACATTATGATTGTAAGACGAGAATCACAATAACACTAAAGCTTATGTTCCTATGAAGTTCTGTTTCCATATTCGATCTAAATCATTGGATAAAGCAAGGATTAAGCTCAACACGAGAAACTATGGAAGATTAGAGATGTTGAAATTTCAAACCAGGAATATCAGCAAGGCGAGGTTCAATGTAATGTCCATTACAAACAACAAGAGCATCGTAAATCTCATCATGACCAACTTTCTTCTCTTTCTCTGTTGATTCAATCCTCCATTTCCCGATTCCTCCTTCACCGTTTGCTGGAGCAACACGCAGAACCGTCATCTCAAACCGTATCATCTCCTCGATCCCAAACTCCTTAGCGAAATCTTGTAGATACGCCAAAACTTCACGGTGACTCGGAAACCTCCTCGGGTCTCTGGAACTGGATCGTACCACGAACGGGAAATCTCTGAATCCCATACACTCTCGAGGAAGGTTAGTGTTTAACCAAAAGATCGAACAATGAATTTATAATAGGGAAGAGGTCGGGGAGTTTCGTGTATTAGAAATTGAGCCCGGAACGTATGTTATAGAATAGACCGCTATAGATATTGCGGACAAGTCCCGGTCTATCTGGTCGCTATAAGTAGTAGACCGGACAAGTCTGGGCTACTAAACAACTACGAGTAAATAAGAGTAAGTGAATGCTTTGTGATATTTTCCGGTCAGTAGTGACTTTCCGGTGGAATCTCCGTCGGAGTTAGAGGCCTGAACAATTCTGCTCTGGGTCCCTTGTACTCTCTCTCAGAGGAATGAAGAATATATCTGGTCACATCACATTATTCTCCTATTTATAGTACTAGGTTGAAGGGTACATACTAGGTTTTATTAACTGTAGTTACTGAAACTGTAGGGCGCGGTTGCCGTTGAGAGCGGTGCGGTCGGTGAGTTGATCATCGATCCGTGGTGCTGGCACTGCTCGCAGCATCGGGCATGTTCGG